AGTTTGGGTATTTTATATATATAATATGTGTATTTACAAAAAAAAAGTATTCTATCAGTAATCTAGCTTTCATAGAATTCGATTCAATTCGAAACTCAATGGCGTTGTGTGTCAGATGTCCAAGAATATTTCGCTTTGGTTCTGGAACTCATGTGTGACAATTCGATTAACCTTCTAGTAGTCTATCACAACTGTTAACCCTGCAACAGTACTGAGACAAGAATCTCCAATTTTTTTTAAATGTCTTTCTAAACAACTAGCTGTCCACATTCTAGCACTTTTCAAAGCAACGAAAATTGCACATTCCTGATATTTAGTTTAAAACCCCTAAAGCTAAACCCTATAGTACACACGTGTGTAAGTATGTGTACTGTGTACGCCACGTAATACACACGGTTTGAGCTCTTGATCTCAAGTGCGACGCCTCAGCCGTTAGGCCACCTACATTATATGTGTTTTATTGAATATGATAAGTTTCATATGATTAAATTAATGTAATAGCCATAATACTAAAAAACGGTATTTTTTACTGTATTCAATTTTTTTATCAGTTTTCAATAAAAATCAAATACCAAAAGTATATGATACTAGTTGACCCGCACAACTTCCCTCGCGTCACTTAAAAGGAATCAATTTTCCCCGTTTTTGCAACATTTTTAACAGTTTCTCGGCTCCTATTAGTGGTAGTGTGGTGTTATATAGCCTTTAGCATTCCCCGATTAATGGGCTATCCATTACTTAAAGAATTTTTCAATTCGAACTCGTAGTTCATGAGATTCTAATTCTTCAGGTTTCTAATTTAAAAAGTAAATCACATGTCAGGCTTACGTATGATGTTAAAACTAATATCCTCATAATCTACCATTTTGACTTTTAATTTAGTAAAAGTCTAGTTCTAGTTAAATAATTATACCTAGACAGCTTAAAGATTTGATGATGTTGAAAGCCTACTACAAATAGTGAAATGATGAAAACTTGAATAATGTCACACACAACCTTACTCACAATACACACACAAACACACATACCCTCACACCCATACCACAAACCACACACAAACATACGTACACCAACACACAAACATATCTAATTTAACATACTTATCTAATTGTGTCTACTATTGTAGTTATTAAATTTGTTTACCTTTTCTTTGAGAAGGACCTGACTTCCTACCCACAGCTCGCGCTAGTTTTGAATAAGGGTCGTATAATGTTTGTATTCCACTTATTGTGACAATAAAGATTATTATTGTTATTCTCTTTTCAAAATTTAAAATACATATTGATTACATTTTTAAATATATATCTAAAGAGAAAAAAAAATAAAAATTATAAAAAATAGTCGGCCACAGACATCGGGGACAGAGACTAAATCTAAATATAGTGATTGGCGCTTTAATCAAACTTAAATCGTATCTTTTTGCCATCTTACTGGCATAAAACTTTATTACAAGTATGGATATATTGGCTCTTTAAAGATTGGAATTTGAATAAGAACCTAAGTAATTAGTTGGTAACGGTAAAATGAAATCACCGTGTACTTTAATCGTAAAATGTCTACATATTGTATTCTATATTTAAACTGTTAACTTTCTAAAAGGTCACTTAAAGTAATAAGCTTGTATTTCAAGACTACTTGTTATTCATAAGTAAGACCCAATTAAGAATAAAATCAAGACTTCACTACCGATGAATATAATTTAAATCTACTGGACTCTACATTTTTTTTTATATCAATTCTCTTTGGTTTAAACTACAAATACATCTCAGGTGTTGATGCCATTTCATTTACCCTTCCACATACAGCATAAAACATAATTCAACACCATCTAGCGCAGATACATCGAACTACGGAGTAACTAGTAATCCTACATCGCGCATTAAAAGTTTTCGCACCAATTAGTAAATCTGTTTCGCTCAACGCTTTTTGACGGGTCTATTGGTATAGCGGTTAGTGACAATGACTGCTAAGCCGAAGGCTGTGGTTGCGATTCCCATCCAGGACATGTTTATGTGATAAGCATGATCCTTTTTCTGTGTCTGAATATTATTTACCTCTAATATGTAGATATGTATTTAAGTACCTATGTTTATATAAGCAGTCTGGTTACCATAGCACAGGCTGTGCCTAGTTTAACGTCATTTGTGAGATGTGAAAAAAAAGATTAAAAAAATAGCCTTAGGCTTATTTGACACCTTACTATGAAGACGGGCCTGTTGGTCTAGTGGTTAGTGCTAAGCCGGAGGTCGTGGGTTCGATTTCCACCCACTACAAATATTGTGTGTTGAGCACGATCATTTGTTCTGTGTCCGGGTGTAATTTATCTATACTATGTATGTATTTAAAAGTATATAAGTGTGTTTATCAAGAGTCTGGTTACCATAGCACAGGCCCTGCCTGGTTTGAGATCAGACGGCCGTGTGTGAGATGTGTTAGGTATATTATATTCATGAAGTACGAAGTTGGCCTTTTAACAATTACAAAACATTTTAGAATCAAAGTTGCACATTTTCATTTTCACAATTTATTGGAAACCTGTTGGTGGCATATCACGAAGTTGCTTGCGACATACCGCGGTGCATCCGAACATTGCTTACACATTTGCTATATTTTATTATACATATACAATCTTTGGATTCACTTTTAATTACATGTAGATAAATGCCAATGTTCCTGTCCGAATGTAACTGAAGAATCTAAATGTAATTTAAAACTCAATACCAAAATTTATAACACAATCTTTTAAAGAATAATTGTTATTGAAACGTCAGGAAATTCAAAGGTATGTAATGAGTCAGAATCGAAAACCATTACATATCCAGTTGGACCAAATGGGACTTTACAAACATACGAGTACATGAAATGGGCACAAAAAACACCCAGGCTCAGAAAAACAATTTGTAGATCACACAAAATGTTGTCCCATGTAATGTGATCGAATCCACAATATGCATGGCGACTACGACATTCGTGCAGTCCACCACAGTAAGTGCCTACCGTCGCCCATGGACACTTGTAACTCACAAGTGCGTTGCTACCGAGTCCTCCCCCAGGGTCGGGGGTGAAACAGTGTTTGTTGTTGATTGGAGTTGACTGTCTCGGCTGTGCAGTGGTAGCGTATGCGACTGATGTGCTTAGGTCTCGGGTTCTATTCCCGGGTAGGACCGAAAGTTTGTGTGATCTGCAAATATTTGTTTTGGAGTTCGGGTGTATTCTATTTATTATATACGTACTTTCAAAAAAAGAATATAAGTATTCTGTCAGTCATTCTAGCTTTCACAGTACAAGCTCTGCTTAGTTTGAAACTAGATGGCGTTTTATGACAGATGTCCGTAATTACTATTAGGCCTCATTTGAGTTATTTTGTGTACATCCCGCGGGTGTCGTAAGAGCCGACTAAGGAAGCAAACTACGCAGGACAACAGCACTGCAAAGAGAAGGAAAACTTGACACAAACCCTATACCAACCCGTCTGGCCAGTGTGGTACAGTAGGCTAAAACCTGAAACAAATTTTCTAGGAGAGGCCTATGTCCAGCAGTGAACTATTAAAGGCTGTTGACTTGATGATGTGATGAGTGTTTTAAAAAGGTATGATTCTTGTTCTAGAATTAACGGTACAGGCTACAGATTAACTGGCCTGTTGGCGACCCTGACTGTTATGCCAGAGGTGTGTAACAATTAATTGTGTGATGAGCACGATAATTTGTTCTGTGTCTGAATATGATTTGTCTATAATATGTACGTATTTAAAAATATATAAGTATGTTTACCAGCATTCTCGTTACCATAGTACTGGCTCTGCCTAGTTTGTAAGATGTGTAAAGTTATTATAAATTAAAATAGTTCTGTGTAATGTACCTTATATTATATGTTTTATTATATAGCGATACTGGTGTACTATTACTTCTAAGTTGTCCATTTAAAACGGTCTATAGCCAGTCATCATTCAGTTTAAATGGCCAATAATAAACTTTACGAACATAATTATTCAAAGATCTAGCTTTGACTTATGCGTTGATAGGAATGTAGGCTGTAAATCACTCCTTTAATGATTATACATTACGAAAGGACATCTTAGAATGTTCTAGAATGTTCTCTTCTTGACTCTACTAATCGAGAAACACACGTTGTAATCATATTTACGTACAAAAACTGTTTGTGATGTCATAATATTTTTTAAGTTCAATAAAAGCACATATTGAAAAAAGATTAGGCATTGAAATCGGTCTAATTATCTTTAAAAATAAATAAAATTGAAGTGTCTGTTTGTAATGTCAAAATAATTGGTTTTTCATGTTCACACGGTTATTTGTATAAAACTATGCCTAAAAAAAAGTTTAAACAAATTTTGGTCCGGGACCGATTTTGATAATATTTTACTACCAGGTAGCTGTCTATATAGGGAGTAACTTAGGTTATTTTTTCTCTCAGAAAAACCCTATAAAATTTTGCTCGGTCCGGGAATCAAACCCGAGGCCTCATGGACTGCAGTCGCGTACCGTACTTCGCCACTAAGGCAGCGCTTTTCGAATTCCACGCGAACGAAGTCGCAGGTACCAGCTAGTTTATAAATATGCATAAATTGTCTACAAGTGTCCTTGAAAATGAGACATTGACTTTAAGCACTAATAGTACTTGTTTTTGGGCATTCAATTCTGAAAATAGTTTTTGAAAAAAAACTACCTGTTTAAAAGTTGTGACCATTATAAATTAAGTTGAGTTCCGATATAGCTATTACTATAATTTAAGACTATAGACCATTTACTATTTATAGACTATTTAAGACTTGTAATTTAAAGATGCCTTAAAAATCAAACATGGTAGAATCTGAGGGGTATACACCAAGCTGTGTAAAACCTAATTGATATTTCAGTACCGAGTGTCGAAGTACCCGGAGGCGAAAACAATAGAGGAAAGGTAATAGTCCTATGGTGAAAACCTACCAAACTATGCTGACGAATAAAAATATAGAAGAAATATAAAATACTACTCACCACAATTAAAGATATAACGTCGGCACCCTCTTTTGAGCTCCCAAAGACAATTTGTTACCAATCTTCTTGTAGCTTTCATTTTTAATCCTAGCTTTTGGTTTATCTGGATCTGGACACCCTTTCAGCTCCCAGACCAGATTCGTCAACGATTTAGGTCGACTCAATTTCCTGGATCTTTTTTCCGGCAATTTCGGTCCATTACCGGAGTCTCCGGAAGTCCTACCACCAGAATGACTGGAGTCCAATGTTCCATCCAGCTCCATAGCTTGGTGGATATTCGACAAACTCTTATACCTTATATTAAAGATGGGTGAATCTCCTTTGATCGGTCTCAATGGACTAGCTACTGGACTAGGCGCCTCTTTAGTCGGCGACGTACTCTTTTGACGGAATACCATTCTATTCTTATTGTTGTTTATACTATTTTTAATGTAAAGTTTGGGCAGATTCGGCGCTGGAGCGATTGAGCACTTCTCTTTATAGACAGTGACTGGGGTATCTTTGACAGGAATTATTGCCCTTCTAGTTCGTTTTTCTGCCTTTTGAATGTTCAATGGCTTCTTTGTGGGGATCGTTTCAATAGGCGGTGGTTCTGGCTTTATTTCTGTTATCAACGGCATATGGATGGGTGTAGCTGCTGGCGAAGACGGTGCTGATTCATGTCTCGGAGTGGGCTCATTCGAGTATGATGCTTTGATGTTTTTAGGAAGAGGAGCAAACCCTCTAACATAATCGTAAATTTGATCAATCTCGTCATATTCATCAGGGATACTGTTTTCATCTCTATGGCTACTGTAAATGTGAGTATGACGAGACACATGTTTGTGATGTTGATTAGCAGTATCAGATGATGCACTTCGTCGTAGAAAGTAACCAGTTTTGACTAACGGAGGTGCATGTAAAGGACCATTTAAAAGTCTCTTGGGGTCGCCCAACTTTCCATCCAATACTTGTATTCTATCAACTACGTCAACTAATAAACGATTGCACTTTTCCACTAATCTAGAGAATTCCATGAAATTCTTAATCTGCTCTTCATTTTTACATCTCTGCATTTTGAGAGGCGCAGCTAAAGGTAAGGCTATCAGGGCATTACCTTCTTTTTGAAGAGGTAAAGCAAAAACGTGATCTTCTTCAAACATGGATATAAGTCTGAGTTCAGCTACGAAATGGCTTGCGCTTTTAAGGCCTCTCGGTGGTGTTCCATGAACCAGTCGAACTGTGATTGGTAAACGTTTAGTAAGCAGAGTTTTCGCCGTGTGAACACCGCTGATATTTTCTTCTTTAGCTACTGCCGAGAACTTTCCTCTCTGGTCTAAACTCAGAAGGATCATATCACCTTTGCTATCCGTACATTTTAGATATTTATTCTTACCTAAGAAAGTCTCTCCTCTTGGCATTATAATTTCCCCTGCTGGTAAATTTCTTGCCCCATCAGCTGTTATGTTACCATCTAAATCTGTTTTAGCACAGATGACTCTGACTGGTTCTCTGACGAGACATCCATCATCAAGTTTTCGTCGGGCTAGTTCAGACACTGACTCGATGCATCTGACAGCCCTGCCTTCTTCACTTAACAGTTCAAAATATCCCTTATAAGAATCAGGTATGGCTATCCTTGGTCCTACGCTGACCATCCGTCTACCTTCTTTTAACTTAATCGCTTGAGCGATAATCTTCTTTCTCTTTCCAGCAGACACGAGCAGCGCAGTACTTTGTAGACCTGGACTTGGAAGGGTGGGTACACCGAGGCCTCCATACTGTCCTTTAATGATCTTAGCGACGTTTGGGATACGGTTTTTTGCTACGAATTCCCGGAGGTAGTTGCCCTCGTCCGACCAGCGGGAAGCTGCTACGACTACTTGCCCGTCTGTGGCTGCCATGTCGAGGTTAGTCACATCTGTGGAAGAAAAAAAAATACCATAAGTTTTAAATGCATTAGAATATTCAAATATCACAAAGCAATTGTTTCTGTATTCTGTGTGTAGTCTTGTGGTCAGCTTGACCTAATAGGATTCAATTTCAGCAGCAATAATCAGTGCATTACTGAGTTTTTTAATCCGGAAGATGAAAGTACCATAAATTATCATAACGCTATTGCTCTCACGTCAAAATAACCGTTAAACTTGGTTAACCAACAGGAAAACCTTTCCTTTTTTTGTAATTTAAAAAAATAAATGTTTATTATACCACTTGTCAGAAATGTCAAAGTTTTTTCTCTAATTGCTGTCGATCTTTGCAAATGCGATCTATTAAGTAATTACAAAAAAGGTGAACTCATTTTGGTAGTGCTTATGTTTTTTAAATGACTTTAAAAAATGAAAAATTGTTAATTCAGTTGTATTTTACTTTATGATTGTTACCTCAGAACTGATTTAGAACAATCTTTTTTTTTTGTAAGGCTATAGTTCCTATTTGGTCCCATATAAAATGCCAACTTTAGCCTAACTAATATCGAAATAAAGAATACAGTTTATTACAGTTCATAATTTCGTGTAGGCGCGTGGAAGTCGGTGATATGTTTTAAAAAAGTTCATCTTACATATTATTTTATTGTTTTCTATGTATTTATTCTATTTCTAAATAAATATAAGTAAGCATTCTTTTGTCAGAGGGGCAGGCGAGCAGGAGGGTCACCTGATGGAAAGTGACCATCGCCGCCCATGAATGTCTGCAACTCATTAGTCACAAACGCGTTGCTGGCCTTTTAGGAAGGAGTTCTTTCCTTGAAGGTTTGAAGGTCATATCGGTCCGGGAATACCGCAGACAATAACCCGTATCACAGATTGGTTGTGCCGTACAAGTATCTCGAAAAGCGCACAGTAGTGGAACGCCAACTATCCAGGTATCTATCAGTCAATCTAGCTTTTATAGTACTAGCTCTGCTTAGTTTGAAGCTAAATGACGTTGTGTGTCAGAAGTCCGAAATATTATTATTATTTTCAACTTTATTCAGCATTTATTTAAGCATCCTTGGTGACGTGCGGTATCCTTTCCTTTCTATTCCTATCCTTTATCCACAGCCTTAGCTATTTAACAGTAAATACCTCCACGTAGGCTAACGGTATAATTATGAGCCATACAAGTGTTGACCACACAATATTTTGTTGCTTCTGTTCCGGACCATAATCGAGTGTTATTAATAACTAGTAGCCCGCCAAAAGTTCTCCCGCGTTTGTACGAGTAGTTTCTGTTCTGATTATGAGGCAGGTAGCTTGGTGTTAAACATATAATCTTCCTGAAGAATTGGGCTATTAAATCCAAAAATAATTTTATGTTCAGACTTAGCGTTTAACACATCAGCATAATTTGGATAAAAAATTCAAAATCTCCATATGATAATTAGACAAATCAGGAACACTATAAGACACGCTTAAAATTTAAACTGAATTAAAAAGTAGAAAAGACTTCATCTACTTAACTCCTGGTTAAATCTTCGTTATCATCAATTTGTAGGAGTAACAAAATTAATCGTATAAACTGAAACTCTATGAGTTTAAAACTAATCACTGAAGAGTCCTATTTCCACCGTCTGGTTCCAACATTTCAGCTTCAAGGTGCCAAATTATAATTTTGTGTTCACTGTGTGTGTATATGAACGCAAAGTTACATTTCATAATGACAATAGAAATAGGTTAAAATTTACTTTCAAGATTTGTTAACTAACTACTTAATTACTTATAAGTAAATCTAATAAAAGCGTTAGTTAGTATAGATTTATACTATAAATGAAAGTAATGTTGAAATAAACAGATCAACCATGCCTTTATTGTTACAGCAACGGGCTATCCAGTCCTTCCGACACAAAGGAATTAAGATTTTCTTTCGATAAGGCCAGGTAAGGTAAGGTCATGGCTAATAGTGCTAGATTTATCCATACTGTCTGTCTGTCTGTTACCTCTCCACGCTTAAACCGCTGAATCGATTTAGATGAAATTTGGTATAGAGAGCATCCGAGTTCCGGGAAAGGACATAGCGTAGTTTTTATCCCAGATAACATCCTTTAAGGGGGTGAAAAGGGGGGAGAAGTTTGTAGGGGGCATCAAAACCGCTGAACTGATTTAGATAAAATTTGGTATGAAGATACTTTGATTCGACCGACATTTATTAGGGCGAAGACGTATTCCATATTTGCTTTAACCGGTTTACTATTTATAAAGAACGAGACTTTTAAATAAATATACCTAAAACTTTATGGTTTCATCTAAAAAAAATTGCAATAGTATTAGAAATTTTCTATAAAAAAAAGGAAGGCAACATTGTACAATTCTTAAATACCTAACGCTTAAACTAAAAACAAAAAACTAGTTACCATATCGGAAACCAACTAACTCGTAACCAAAGATTATCTAACACATTCGTATGCGCCGGCGCATAACGTTACATCAAGCCATTGTTAGTGAGCGTTGACCTTAAACTTGTGTGTTTGTTTTATATGCGTTACGCTTTAATTAGCCAAGGTTTTCACAGTGCGATGAAATTTTGTTACTTTTTACAGTTTTGTTATGTTTATGTACGATAATTTTATGACTTTTTTTAGTAAAAAACTATTTTGAATTGTAGCAATATGGACTCAGACTCAAAAGACGATAACCTCTGTCGTTTTTTCTACACAAGTGAATAGATACTTATCAACTATAAAAATAAATATCCAGAGAAGGGACGTAACCACCACACCACGTACATGTACAGAAATCTTACTTACTTGCATATTTAGATGATTAGCGACTCTATGAACTATGCAATTAAGTGCAAATTAGTTGAATAAGTTTTTTTTTTGTCAAAATCATTTAAGCCAATTTATCTGTCGAAAGCATGATGTTGAGTGCCAACAGAACAACTTTCCCTTAGTAGTATGTCATGTCTATGGACAAAACCAATACTTTTTTTGTTATCTCAAAAAAATTAAACGACCTGCTCATGTCTCTGGGGATAAAAGATGCTTTTTTGATGTTTCGGAATACTCCAATAGGCCATCATTATTGTCGCGATTTTCCGTTGCGATCAACTATTCCGCTCTTGGCAGTCTGCATCCATTCACTGCCAGCTACTTTCCTCAAGTTGTCGGACTATCATGGTGTACTTCACTGTGCCTGCTAGTACTACCACAACACTCGGCAGAGAAGCAGTAAGCAAGCTGACTAGTTACAGCATTGGACGAATAGAGAAGTCGCCTTTACTTCATTATTCTAGAATCATGGAACTTATTTTCAGTTGGAAAAAGTTCAAACTTCACTTCCTTTCTAGATGATGCTATCGCTTTCTTTTTCTATCATCATCATAACTTTTTGTATAAATATTAAAAATAAAATTAAATAAATCTTGCAAATAGTAGTTATATAAACTATTTTTTTTTCATTGGGGAAAATGAACGAAGGGGTCACCTGGTTGTAAGATGCTGGCGCTGGCCATGTACACTCGAAACTGAACAACAAGTGTGAATTGCGGGAATTGGAGATTTGAGCCAGTAATCTCACATACTCGGTAAAAGCCAACGAAATAATTACTTAACCCGTTTTTCCCCTATGTCGCTTTCTACCTATGTACCCCTTGGAACATATACGAGTATATACAAGTAGTTAAGACGTCAAAACGTAACAAACACACAAGTACACTTTCGCATTATAGCATTAGAATGATGTTGCAAATGTATTTTTCAATGTTTTTATATCGTTACATGATTTTGTTTGATCAGATAACGAGTTCAGCCAGAACTTTTTTAATTTCGTTCATTTTATCTTTCATCTCACAGTTTTCGATAGTCATCGTTTGAACAGAGAGCCGCAGTTCCGAGTGGGATTTTCGTGAGGCATGGTTTTTTTATCGAACTTAGTAGTAAATTCTATAAAAATCCATCTTTTACATTGTACTTTATAAATAGATAGCCTAGATAGTGCGTAGGCGCTATCGTCTAGAAACTATCTATACGTTTCGTGCGGATTTTTTATTCTTGTAAAATTACTTTTTATATTATCATAGTTAAATTTAGTAAGTAAAAGATTGTCTAAATATTAAATTTGATGACAATTGACAATGTTATGTATCTTGTCATTATTTTGTGAACACTATATTCGCCTTTTTTTAACCGATTCCATAATAATTGAACTGAGAATAATTCCATAAGAGCTGTTATTACGTAAGTGGTAATAACTTTATAGTCGGCAATATAAGGGCGTTTATATTACGCCTCCCTTTTGAGAATAAAAGCATGAGTATATATATATATAAAATGTTCGACTAAACACCAGTCCTATATGAACACGAAAAAAGAAATAGGTAACGACAGTTTTAACCAAGTAATTGAATAATTAAGTCTGACATTTAATTTGCTTGTCAGTCTAAGGTATCAATTATCACAGGTGACGTCAGAATTGCTGCAAACACATTTTAATTGATTTGTGAATGTTAATTTAGAACGTTTAGACCCTGGAGTCTGTTAAGACTCTAGCAATGCGATTTTTAATATAGAGACATTTTCCAAATATCCCTTTTCAACCGTTATTTTACTGTCTAAAGTGTAATCAAGCAGAAGTCACTGAGCTATGGATTAACCACGAATAGCGTTAAATTACAATCCTTAAATTACGACAAGCTAAATAGGGCACTGGTAGTCTATTCGACTGCAATGTCAGAGGTCGCGGATTTCATATTCACACAGTCCATATTTATATGTCTGACTGTACTTGCATTGGTGGGGTGTTTATATAATATTCTCGAATTGTAAAACAAACCTTTCTAAGTAAAATCATCTGCTTTTCATAACACATTGTAAAAAGAATGATTAGTAGTTTGGATTTAGTTCGCGTTCTGTTAAATTTTAGTAAAATTATTAAACGTTACATACACAATTACACTGACTGGCCTGTTGGTCGAGTGGTTACTG